GAAGAAGGGCAAGGAGACAAGCAGTCTCAGATGAAATTCGAGCCACTTTAGTTGACCATGTCCTTGTCCATGGTATGACTATGAGGGAGGCTGGGCAACGAGTACAGCCAAATTTGAGTCGCTTCACCGTCGCCTCCAATATCAGAACCTTCAGGGAGGAAAACAGGTAGGTGTATTTACAGTAAGACTGCTATGTACAGTAACTTTAGAGTGCATACACTGTTGCACTATGCTACTATAATAAAGAAATGCATCAAATTGCCTCGCATACAGATAGAGTTTCAGTATGTTTCCATTTTTTGAAAACAGGTAGGTGTACTTACAGTAAGACTGCTCTGTACAGTAACTTTAGAGTGCATACAATGTTGCACTATGCTACTGTAATAAAGAAATGCATCAAATTGCCTCGCATACAGATAGAGTTTCTGTATGTTTCCATTTTTTCCTGTAAAAAGGATGTGTGACAGTTACAGTAATGAGTGCTTCTGTTTTTGTAGGACACAGAGACAACCACCTGGTGGAGGCAGGCTAAGGCTTTTGTCGGAGGAGCAAGAGAGGGAGCTTGTAAACATGGTCATTGCCAATAATGTAATCTGCCTGCGAGAGATTCAAAGGAGAGTGATTGAGGATAATCGTCATTTTCGAGGGATAAATGCCATCAGCCTCTATTCAATTGATCGTATCCTCCGAAAGCACCGGTTCCGGATGAAACAGGCGTACTGCATCCCTTTCGAACGAAACTCTGACAAAGTGAAAGACCAATGAGTGGAATATGTTCAGGTATGAGTTTTGATATCGTATGAAGTATTGTGTACCATCACAGTATAGCAGTTTATGCTGCCATTTGTGCCCTCTTGAACTGTGCTTCAGGGCAGTGATTTACTCTACTGTGTTTCATAGGATGACTTCAGGGTGAGTAATTTGTGGGCTAATTTTCATTTTTGTGTGAACTAACCCTTTAATCATCCTTTGCATGGATATACTCTGTTGAAAATCCCAAATTTCAGTCAGATTCCAAAAATATCAACAGTCCATATTCTTTCAGGCCCAGGAGGACATCTGAGTCTAAAGAGCGAGGTCAATTCATATCTGAGAGGAGCTAAGTGCCTCCAATCTTCCATCAAGCCATATACTGTCCATTAACACACATCAGCAGTTTAAAAAAAAGTCTAATTATGAGGAAAAGAAAGTAGGTCTGCAGGCCTCAATGTCCCTCTGATTGAGGCCAACAAACCCTCGGAGACACTGAAGCACCAATCATGTGCCATTCTAATCCAGACATGAAACTTTCCAAAGTTAGAAGCATAGATCCAGATCAGCCAGGCCCTCTGGTCATTCATTACCAAACAACAGTAGGTTAGTGTGCTCCTCTCGCAACCTTCTGATCTCCCTGACCAGGTCCATTTTTAGACATGAAGAAGCCTCATTCATTGTCTGTCCCAGAATCCCTTTATATTGCAGAAGCTCAACACAAACCGCCACCGTCATCCCAGGCCCCAAAAATCCCTAACTGACCGCTTTCAAATGATCAACCTGG